TTGTGAAACACGATCATGACCAACTGGATTAGCCTGTACGGAGCACCTGCAACAATTAGGATGGATCAAGGAAAAGAATTTGATAACGCCTTGTTAAAAAATCTTCTCAATGCTTTAAATGTTAATATTAAAATTGGTTTTAGCCACAATCATCAGTCTAACCCTGTTGAGAGATTTCATAGAACTTTGTGGTCACTTTTGAAAGCAAAGAAAGCAAATGGGGAAAATGACTGGGAAAAATCCCTCCCAACCTTGATTTTGGCCTACAACGCAACCCAACATTTTCCCACTAATTCGTCCCCCGCCAGAATTTTTCTAGGAAGAGAATTAAACCTTCCTCATTTGTCTTTGTTGCCGAAATTTGTCCAAAATTATAACCCCTCCCCCCACTCCGTTGAAGAACAATTAGATTACATCCTTGATCTAATGAGAGCTTCAGACAATGTAAGGATACGGAGGCAATTTAGGTCTTATGAAAAACCCCAGGATGAGATTTGGGTAGGAGATCGTGTGTACTGTGCTGCCCTCCCACCCCAAGGCAACTCAAGAAAACTGCAGCTAAGCTGGAGCGGCCCAGTGTTGGTTACAGAAATCATAAATAATGACTTGATCATGGTCAAAGAATACGGTGTGAAGAATCCTCAGACCTACGTAGCACACCGCTCAAAAGTCCGCCTCGCCAAGAAAATGGGACAAAAAGATGTTGACCCACTATTCAAGCTACCTAGACTACCTGCTGAAGCTATTAAGGATCTAGCAGGCGTGCTGTCAGAGTTTGACCTACCTGCGAGACAACTCGATGCTGAAATAATTGACGAGTTTCATTCTCAAGCCTCTGAAATTCGTCACCGGGGGAAGGATCACCGCAGCAGCATCTCGTCAAGCCCCCCCTGTGGTTCCTCAAAACTTCTCAGGTTCAAGCATTGCAGCAAGCTCAGAGAACAGTGAAGACGGCCTCTTCCAATCATTTATACAGTCTCCAGGCTCAGCTCGGTCCAACAGCAGCAACCCGGAGCAATTATTCCAGAACCATTTTCAAGCGGAAGACGAACCACGGGATGAAATGCTACAGGAAGCACTGACAGATGATGAAGAAGTAATGGGGTCGGCAGCCAATCTGATCCCAGAACCAGAGCCAGTCAAAACTCCGGAACCAAGAAGATCAGAAACAGAAACTAGCAGTGAACCAGAAGGGAGAGATGATGAACCTACAGGAATAAACACCCCTACCGGAGAACAAGGAGAACAAGGAACTAGGGGTGAGAAGGAAATAACAGAGAAAATAAACTCCCCCTCTCAACAGATTGATGAAGCAGCAAACTTTACTGCCAAAGATGAAGAACCAAGGCCGTTAGATGGCAGCACCACTACTGAAGATACCAGGAGAAGATCCAGCAGGAGATCAATCCCTATGGATAGATATAGCGCGGACTTCAAACTACCGGCAAACCCCAGATCCAAGAAAGGAACAAAATCATCAATAGCACCGTCCCTGAAGTCACTGAAAGCAGCACTCAAGGAGAGCTGGGCACAAAGGCCAGACTCTACAGCACCGCTGAGGAGAAGGAGCAGATCAAGAGAGAGTTCTAGCTCCATCAGGACAAGAGCTGCATCCCTAGAGAGGGTGCAGACAGGGAGTATTAAAAATAGTGGTAGCACAAGAAGTAGTGTCAGGACTAGGTATAAGGTAACAAATCAGAGTAGTCATGTGCAAGGAGCAGATGATAGTAGTTGGAGTGACACAGAGGATGAAGCAGACAAAAGTAGCAATAAAGTTAAGGAAGGAATTAATACAATTTCAGGTCAAAAATCTAAAATTGCAAAAGTGAAAAATTCTGTAACACTTCACCCTGGGCAAGGGGCATGGGTTTATTTAGAAGAAAATCCTGGACAAGTCAGTGGGGATGATTTCATTTTCCCAATCTTGTTTAACACTATTGTTGAGAAAAATCTTTTTGCGTCAAAGTTTTCCCCCAGGGCAGGAGTGTTACCTTCACCTGCAATCTACATGATTAACCATAATAATGATATCTTTGTTCAGGTGAAGAAGGGAGAGAGGGTGGGGAAGTTGATCAGCCTGATGGTGAAGTACGAGAGCAGGCGGCCCGCCACCAGGGGAGGAGGAGCAAAGGAGTAAGCCAGCTCCTGTTTGTGGGCATGCTGGCAGTGCTGGGAGCGCAGGTTATGGCCAAGGACGAGTACAAGGTGGAGGCCTACGACTGCTCCCAGGACAATGAATGCGAGATGAACCGGTTACCAGGAAGTCCATTGTACTCACTGTCCAAACTGGAGAAGGAAACTGTCGAGTTTGTAGAACTAGGCCCATGGGATTATTTCCTAGTAAAAACTCTAGGACCTATCTGGAAGGGTGTCTCTTTCGTGGGAATATGCGGAGGTCTGATCACTGCATTCCAGCACGGAGTTTGGGTTGCTAGATCAGGAGTATGAGTTTGCAAATCTTGCAAGAAGACCGAGTCGGACAAACAACTGAGGACAGCCCAGCTACTGATGGACCTCATGGAGGACTCGCAGTCCATGCCGATGAACAATAGGAGGGCTCCACCCCCAAATGTTAGATACACCACTAGACAAGGGCATAAAGAGGAAAAAGTGGAAATGGAAACCTTGAATGTTCTCTGATCGCAGAAAAGATCAGGGGGGCATGTAGCAGGAAAGTGATGTGTTGATCTTTCCTGCGATCATAAAGGGGTTTTTTCTCTCTCCTTCATCCATTCCCCCCCTCTTCTATCCCTTGTACAGATCTAACGAATTAATTCGTGTTTGTATGTGAATCCTATAAATAACCCAAGCCACGCCAATTGTTCCGTTATTTCAGAGGCCCGGGTGCTGGGGGGATAGCCGGCCAGCTCCTGGGGAACTAGGGTTAAGCTCTAGGCTAGGGTGGAGTGAAATTTGGGGAAAAATGGCAGTTGAAGACCAGCTCCCTAGTTAATAGGCTCCCCTGGAGATCTCCCATCACTCTGAACTATTCTCAATTCATGCAATTTGATTCGTATAGTATTTTCTTATAGTATTTGAATCTTTGTAAATGATAATAAATTGTAAGAAAAACCGACTCGTCAAATATTAGATCAAATGAGTAGTTGTATTGATTCATTTTTCTATCATATATAATAATATAATTATTTATCTACCAGATATACTTATTTATCTACCAGATATACTCATTTATCTACCAGATATACTTATTTATCTACCAGATATACTCATTTATCTACCAGATATACTTATTTATCTACCAGATATACTTATTTATCTACCAGATATACTTATTTATCTACCAGATATACTCATTTATCTACCAGATATACTTATTTATTTACCAGATATTCTTATTTATCTACTAGATATACTTATTTATCTACTAGATATACTTATTTATCTACCATACATACTTATTTATCTACCAGATATACTTATTTATGTACCAGATATACTTATTTATCTACCTTACATACTTATTTATCTACCAGATATACTTATTTATCTACCAGATATACTTATTTATCTACCAGATATATTTATATATCTACCATACATACTTATTTATCTACCAGATATACTCATTTATCTACAGATATACTTATTTATCTACCAGATATACTCATTTATCTACCAGATATACTTATTTATTTACCAGATATTCTTATTTATCTACTAGATATACTTATTCATCTACCATACATACTTATTTATCTACCAGATATACTTATTTATCTACCAGATATACTTATTTATCTACTAGATATACTTATATATCTACCATACATACTTATTTATCTAACAGATATACTTATTTATCTACCAGATATGCTATTTATCTACCAGATATACTTATTTATGTATCCTTTAGTTTAGTCCAGTGACCAATAATTATTTTGCTACTTTTTTATTAACCAGACACAATTATTTATTGTATGAACCAAGTTCAATAATGCGTAGATGAAGCAGGAACCGAGTTTAAACCAGGAAGATAATCTGAATTGTACTTAAAGAAGGAGTTAGAGAATATACTTCAGTCCCGCATACCATCTAGTTATGCATTTAGGTACCTTCCCACCTACCAGACTTTTGTCCGGTATATTATCTACCATATATACTTATTTATCTACCAGATATACTTATTTATCTACCATATAAACTTATTTATCTACCAGATATACTAATTTATCTATCAGATATACTTATTAATTTACCAGATATACTCATTTATCTACCAGATATACTTATTTATCTATTAGATATACTTATTAATTTACCTGATATACTCATTTATCTACCAGATACACTTATTTATCTACCATATATACTTATTTATCTTCCATATATAATTATTTATCTACCAGATATAAACATTTATCTACCAGATAAACTCATTTATCTACCAGATATACTTATTTATCTACCATATATACTTATTTATCTTCCATATATGATTATTTATATACCAGATATACTTACTTATGTACCAGATATACTTATTTATCTACCAGATATACTAATTTATCTACCAGATATACTTATTTATCTTCCATATATAATTATTTATCTACCAGATATACTTATTTATCTACTAGATATACTCATTTTTCTACCAGATTATATAATCATTTACATGCCAGATATATAATCATTTATCAACCAGATATACTAATTTATAAACCAGATATAATCATTTATTAACCAGATATAATCATTTATAGACCAGATATAATCATTTAAAGACCTTATATAATCATTTATAAACCAGATATAATCATTTATAGGCCAGATTAGGGTTTCCATTCGCAAAACTTTTGCGCAATTTTTGCGGAACGACCCTCAATATTTTTCTTTCTTTGCGCATCAATTTTGCGCGAAAAAACAACAATTTGCGCAATCATTCGCAAAAGTCATTTCGCGCAAAATTGCCCTATTCCGCTTTTGCGAAACTCAAGTTTTGCGCNGTTGTAGCACGCCAAATTGGATCACGTCGGGGTCACCAATTTGGCGTGCTACAACTTTAAAGGAAAAGAGTTACTCAACGATTAACTTTATTTAAAAACTTAACTTATATAGTAAAATAATTGAATCTTAAACACATGATTTTATATCAGCTGATCTGGCAACTCCTCCTTGGATTTCTCTAGAATTATTCAGGAAGACGATATTCATATCCGCCACAATATAATCATTTATTTACCAGATATAATCATTTATTTACCATATATAATCATTTACCTGCCAAGGAAACTCGTTTTCTGTACCTTCTTCTCCTTCTATTATCAGCAAGCGACCATTTATGTTCGGAGTATTAGCAATACCACACTGTTTAATAACAATACAAGTTTAAGTAAAAAAAAGGTATTGATTTGTGGAAACCAATTATTCAGTTATTTTTTAGATTAGGTTTAAATATTTTTTCTGTTTTACAAAGACACATAGATGCAAAATATAGATAGCTATTTTATTTCACCGAAAAAGCTACAAATTCTGAGTCAAACCCAATAATGACTCACCAACAGTTAATGTAAATATTTTTGGTCAATTCATTCATAATGTTATTAAAATAAAATTGCTTAAAATTATTGTCTGTTTGTTGTGAATGGACTGTAAATGTAATTTCAGGTGACTACATGCAAAGATGGCAATGCCCGATTCACAATGGTACCCGAACATGTCCAGCCCATATCTGTGTAAAAAGACAAAAATTTCTTTTAAATTAATAAATCATTTAGTAATATTTGTATTGATTCCTCGCAAACAAAAGGAGGGGGCGGAATGATCGGAATGTTGTTCTTGAGATCCATTACTCCATATCCATACTTATCTGGTCCATATTTTGTGGCTGGTTTTGGCGGATTTGGATTTATTGCGGTTGTTTTTACTGGCTTATTGTTGGATACTATGGTGTGCACTTGGCAGTCAACGAGGGTAAGACCGATAAAACAAATCTAAATAGTTTTAGTTTTTTAAATTGTTTGTTATTTTAGATTAAATAGGTTCATTGATCATTGTTCTACACTTACCACAAGAAGTCCGTTAAACTTCATGGTGAAACTGGCACTAAACAAATAAAAGTAATGACACATTTCATATATATAGGACATTTCATTTATAGGACATCTCATAGATAAGACATTGCATAGAAAGGACATTTTATAGATAGGAAATTTCACAGGTAGGACTTTTCATGGATATGACATTTTATAGATAGGACTTTTCATGGATATGACATTTTATAGATATAGGACATTTTATAGATAGGACTTTTCATAGTTATGACATATCATAGATATGACATATCATAGATATAGGACATTTCATAGATAGGAATTTTCATAGATATGACATAGATAAGACATTTCATAGATAGGACTTTTCATATTTAGGACATTTCATAGACAGAGCATAATGTTCATTGTTAGGATGTTTTAAAAACAAAACGTTTCATAGACAGAGATTTCATAGAGATTTCGTAGATAGAACATTTCATAGACATTCAGTATTAACCAGAAAACTCTTTAATAGGAAGTCGAGTTTTAGACTCAGGTTATGACTTTAAATAGTCCAATGAACAAAAAACACAGAAAATGTGCAGTGTAAACAGACCCATTTTAATTAATAAGTGATTTTATAAGTTTCTAGTAAAGCTATTTGCTTTGTGACAATATCAAATACACTTCAGTATTGCTTTAATGTCGTCTTCCTATTCTACAATTTTATTGATGGATATTTCGTAAACAGAACATTTCACAGATAAGACATTTCAAAGAAGACATTTCATAAAAGTGGCATTTCATGAACAAAGAAGATTTTTCATTTGTCAGATAAACACAATCTTTCTTTACCCTATTTACCCTGATGTCTGGTTTACTGACTGGCTGACTGGAGGCGGGGGGGGGGGGGGGNAAGTTGACCCCCCTCTATTTTCTTATTCTGATACAAATCTATAACATTTGATAAGTTTTTGGAAAGCCCTTGGTCTACTTCAAAAATCTGCAAAATAAAATGGCAAATTTTCAAAAATCCAAATATTTTTTGCGAAATAAAAAAATTCGCATAAAAAAATTGCGCAAATGGCAACAAATTTTACATTTTTGAAAAGCCCTTGACCCAGCAAATTCAAATGTACAAAAACATTTGCAAAATTTTTAAAACCTAAATGTGTATTCAAGAAAAACTCAAAATGTGCAAAGTCTCTATTTAGGCGTTTGTGCAAAAATCTGTGTAACATTTTTTTTGCAAAAATTGTGCAATCTGCTTGCTTTTGTTATAGATTTTCCAAAAAGCTATAAAATGTTGAAATCCAATGACTGGAAGTAGGTTTAATAGATTTAGTCTGGTATAGGTAAAATGAGGCATTTAGGCAGTATTCCTGAGGACTCAGGCAGTTGGTATAAAATAGGGTTAATACATTTTACATGGTTATACCATCTAAGAGAACAGGCTGTCCACTGTCTGTGAATTATACTATGGTATTATACTGACTTATTAAAAAACTATGAGTCCCATGTGCTTCCCTTCTAATAATAAAAAATAAAAATAAACTTATAAACAAAACAAATGTCTGCGCACCCCTCAAGTCAAACCAAATTTTGTACTGGTGCTAAATAACCTTATTATAAAATGTATTATCTTAGAAATTTCCTTTCTAATAAATGTCCTGTGAAATGTCTTATTAATAAAATGTCCTTTCTAAAAAAAATTCAAATGCTTAAAAACACTCAATTCTAACAAGAATGATACATTTTGAACTCATTATTGTTATTTAAACAAAATAAAAAATATATTGTGTTGTAAACCCCGAGTTTGATTCGGTCTACAGCAGAATTTTAAACGCAATAATTAACTCTCTTGGTTCATATTTATTAATTCAAGTTTATCAATAATTGTATATTTATATTTAGGAGATCAGTATTCGGTCCCAAGCTCCACCTCCTGTACTCCAGCAGAACACTAACTATGCTGAAGAGGCGGCCTGGTACTTCCTTAGGTTCCCTAACTGTTCCATGATCTTCATTGGATCCCTAAGTTGATGCTGTATCTGCTCTAAGGTCCCCTCATTTCCAATTGATGAGGATTCATCTGCCTCCAACCCTGGTGGAGCCTCATTCTCTTCTTCAGATTCATCCTCGAGGCCAGGGACATCATCCGGATCTACTCTGTAATCCCCCTTCTGGGGTTCACCTTTCTCCGTCTCTCCTTCAACAAGATCATTCCCTCCTTCATCCCCAGAGCTCTCAGATACTTCGGCATCAGACTGATCAGGAATCCATACACTAGGATCATCAGGGTCATCCTCGGAGGATGAGATGGTTATAAACTCCATTGCAGCTAAAGTAACCTCTGTGGTTGTGGAATTTGAAGAATTCTAACATGTCTAACATTGTATAACAATGATTTTAATTTGGAAAGAATAATTTTTACTTTGAGAACTATATATCGTCTTTTTCAGACGAAGAATGGGTTGATTAAATTTATAACCCGGCTAAGTCTCCAGGTCTCATCTTTTACGAGGTTTATAAAACATCTTTCTAAAAGAATAATTTCCTATAATACAAAAGGTCTTGAGCCAAAACTTTGATATATGTAATGATGTTATATAATGGTGATACAGATCTTAGATTAAACGTGTTCTCCCTAACTTCAACCATCCTACAAATCTACCACCTACAACATCATCCTACAAATTTATTATCTACAACCTCATCTACAAATCTTCATTCGTAGAGTATATGAAACTCAGGTGAACCATGCAAAATCATAAATAGACTTTGAACCAATTGAGCCTTGGAATGTTCATCGATAATATTATGCACATGCAGATACCTTAAATACATGTATTCAGGACCTACCCTGATGTTTGTGTACTCCTCCGTCTGACAGATCTGATGGAGTAAATACTCTCCACCTGGAGAAATCTTCTGATGTCGTCTTCTATCTTCAGAACTACTCTAGATTCCGTTGGCCGTCTTCCACCATCGTGATTCTTCCTGACCATCTATGAGCGGGTACCCAATATCAAGGACGTCGTCTTCCCCTTGGTTCTCCGATACTCTCCTTCTCTGCTTTAAGGATTGCACCTAAAGGTACACTGCAATTTCTGTGCTAATATTTTGATAAGTGATCTATAAGCTTATCTTTTGTCGATCAAATCTCACCGAGAATTCTCTTTTAGACTCAAAAGGACTCTGAATGAAGCATAAGATAACCTCTCCCTGAACTGTAGTTCATATCAAGACCCCAGCCCGAGCAACTTTGTAAGTGTGTTTTTAAATACTGAACTCTTTGCCAATATGATTGTTAATGATTCAAAAAACTAAATTTCTTTATTGAGACCTGGAGCAAATTTTTGTAAACATATACGTATATATTCTGTTATATTATAATAATTTAATTTCAGTTCACAGTGTGAGAGCTGAAGTTGAGGATAAACTACTTCAATAAAGCTTATATAAACATAACACTCGTGTATTAATGTGGTGCGCTGGTTATAAGGGAATACTCGCCCTGGATATGAGTGAGCTTTTATGTTTTTAAAGTCTCAAAAACAACGTTACGAGTACAGTGGTATTGTTAGAGATATTTCTAGCTTTTAATATACTTAGATAATAAATACTTATTTATCTTTTTAATCATAAAGAGTTAGAATCCTTTATGTAGCTTCACGGAGCTATTTGTTTTACTTAGCTATATAAAGCTTTAGCAACTTTTATGGTATTTTAGTTACTTAGCTATTAATATAATTGGGAACTATCTAGAATTGGTTATTTATATATATATAACTTTACTAAGCTATTGGTCTTGCTTAGCGTTATAGAGCTACCTTATTTAGCTTTGCGGAGCTATTAACTTTGTGGAGCTATTAGCTTTGCGGAGCTATTAATGTTGTGGAGCTATTAGCTTTGCGGAGCTATGTATTGGGTTTAGCTACGCAGAATTATATATCTTTATACAAATAGCTTTACAAAGCTATTTGTTTTATCTAGCTTTGCAGGGCCAAGGAGCCGGCTTAGCTTTATGGAGCTATTTGTCCTGCTTAGCTTTACAGCGCTATTTATCCGGCTTAGCTTTACGGAGCTATTTATCTCATCTAGCATTGCAGAGCTATGTATGGTATTTAGCTATGTAGAACTATATATTCTAGTCCGTTGATGTAGAGCTAGATATTTCTTTGCGGAGCTATATATTGTATTTAGCTATGTAGGATTATATATCCTTGCCTATCTATGCAAGATCTATAACTAGCTATTCAGAGTTGAATATGTTTATCAGGCTATATTATGTTAATAGTCTGATTTATGAATCGGTAAGAGTTGGGGGCTGCACTTGACCTAAGGTAGAAGATTATATTAGGATTTTAATTCTTTCTACTAGTAAGGTTCTTTGTGCACTGCCGTTCCTTTTTGCTTTGATTCAATATATAGAGCGCTGGCAGCATGTTCTAAATGTATATGTCTATATATAAATATATATATGAATTCAAAGGTATTCCTAATCCGTTCTAGATTACAACAATTGTCTCTGCGCTGTGGTTATTTTTTGGTAATACATTATATAACATTGAAACATTTTTTTCTTTTTAGATCATTTAAATAGAAAATTTCTAAATATATGATATATAATATAATGATATGATAAAAGAATCTACTCCCCTTTCAGAACTAAATTAGAAAATATTCATCGTACATAAAGGGACTGTAAGCGGAATTTCAAGTGACCCTCTATGCAAAGATGGCAATGTCCAACTTTCAGCGGTACCCTTAAAAGCTTTGTCTTCATAAAGTATGAATTAGATAGCAATGTTTTTATTTCTCTGAACTATTAATTTTTATTTGTGGTTTCTCTGAGAAAGTGACTTGCGTACAAGAATCAATGGAGAAACTCACAGAAATAAACACTTTTCAAGTCAGAAAACGATTGTATCTTCAACGTTTTTGATAAGAGTGAGGTTTCGAGGGAACCGTTGTAAATAGGAGGGTCACTTGATATTACGCTTACAGTCCCTTTAATAGCAAGGTAGGAAAAACGGGTGTATGAGTGTAGGTGAAATCAACACAAATTTCAAATTCTTTATTAAAATCTTTTGATTTAAGAGACAAAATACATGTTTAAAATAAAAAAATTGAATTTAGTAAGGGGAGCACTAAAAAGAGAATATAAGAGCTTTGGACAAATCAGCTTACCTTGTCAGAAGCTACCTATCCTCAATTGAATATTGAGTGGAAGCTACAAAGTTTAAATACATGTAATCAGGGATACAGATGTATCTCATTAAAATGATTGCACAACTGATAAAATTAATATCCATAGATCTGTTTCCGTTTTTTTTAATTATATGATATTTTCATATTTTAAACGCAATATTTTTATACATCGTTAAATTAATATAATATTTTAATTTTTGCTGAATTAAAGAAATTAAAGGTAAAGCTTAAATATTAGAGGGGGTTCTAGGAGCCTGTCGCCTTGAAAAAGCGAGAAAGTATAAATCCTAGACAAAAAGATACATGAAGGGTTAAGGATGGATGAAGATAGATTATTAAACAAATGCTAACTGTACAAGGATTTCTGCTTTCTTCTTTTTAGTTTGGTTTCGGAGACTTGAGCGGGATTTTTGGTGTCAAGAGCTGATTGGTGGATCCCGTGGTTCCATGCGAGCAGCCTAGATGAACCAAGCCGAAAATCAAGCAGTTGAGGTAGGTTCCATACCATCGCTCAGAAAAGCACATCACCCCCCATAGGGAGTTCTCAATGATGAACCCCGATAATACCACCTGAAATATGAAAATTATAAGTTGCTCAATAAATAAATACATCGTTTAGAGATATGTATTCCCATTTCAGAAGGTTCTTTTTTAACTTACTTGATTCACTTCTATAATAAGAGAAAGTTTTTTTCTTTTTTAACAAGAAGAACTATTTTGTAAATAATGAATTATTGATGTTTAGTGCTCAACACGTGACAAATTTTAAATTCATGTCCGATCAATCATAAATAATGAACCATGACCGATTTGCCTCTAATTTTGATTGGGGAACCCGGTAGAACTACGGGAATGGTATAAGCTTGGTTTTAAAAATTCTTAGTTAAGTGATTTGACTTTTACAAGGAAAACATCAGGGTTCCCAAGCAAATGCTTAATAAAACATTGCTAATAGTTTGTATCAACAAGTTTGCGAAGGGATCCTAAAAAGCCAATCTTTCAAGTTGTGCCCAAACCTGACACACTCCCGGGTTGAAACTAAGGTCCCCTGTAATTGCAATTCCAAGAAAAAATCCCTTTTTTATACAAAATGATAAATGCACATATTTTAGCTATTTTTTTTGCGTTTAAACATTTAAAAAATATTATAAAATTTCGAGGTAAAAACAATTTTTACTTTTTTCATCATTATTATTTATACAAACAAAATTACTTTCCTAATATCCTGGATTATATTTATAATTAATATTATACCAGATTTTCTGTTTAATTTACATTATTCTATAAAAACATGTTTGTAATTAGATGAGTATAATATCCTATAATAAAAATAGATAAATATCTCACAATTGTTACCACCAGGATTATAAATGTTGATTCATAATCCTGTTTAAATAAGTTTTACATTATGCAACGTAATTATGATAATAATATACATATACATATTCATTTTATGTTTAGAAAAAATCAAACAATATTTTACTGCTTTAAATTTGAAATAGTCTTCTTAATCAAAAATACATATTTAAGAACAGATTAATTTACCTTTAACCTTTTGTTTAGCTGACCTATTCAATAACAATATTAATCAATATAATTATGCATACTTAGACCAACGAGGTTATAGTATATAGAGTGATGATGTACGCTTATCCTTTACTAATTGTACTTCACTTCCAAAGGTCAATCTGTATATTACAGTACTCGGGGGTGATTTCTGAAAATATTTAAATGGAAAATTTGTTTTCCATGTAACTATTAAAATCCGCTACTCCTTTGTTGTGTGCAGGATTCCATTTTTACAGGAAGATGTACATTTACAGTTTTTTACAGAGCAATATTTCATCCTTAATAAACGGTTCTGAGAAAAATAACCTCCCCATACACTTGTACTCCGAAAGCGTACTACATATTTGATGTTTGTACTGTATGAATATGCCATAATCTCTTAATGTCCTTTATCAGTAAACTATCCATAGTGTACACTCAGGCCAATACACACGGAGAGGTAGCTAAGATCCTGACTTAGACATTCTCTTAAAATATATTTTCAAGTTTAACTGCAACAATACAAAAGATTCGTCTTGTAATTTATTTACTTAAAAGATAATAAAAGTTAGCATATCTATCTTCAGGTTTAACATACAGGGTTACCCACTAAGGATGGGACTGTAAAGACGACCGAAATTTCTAGAAATGTAATGATCCTAAGTTTAATTTATGTGTTCTGTCTTAGATATAGTTATCTAATGGCTTGTTTAAAAGAAACTAACATAAGTTTACATTTGCAGGAAATCGTAAATATAAAAAAAAAACAATTGTCTCTGAAGTATCATCAGCATTGTGAGTAATCTTTTAAATCAGCCTGACTTTTCTTAGCAACTTTACCCATCAGTTACACGTTTTCTGAGCAACTTTACCCATCAGTTCCACGTTTCCTGAGCAACTTTACACATCAGTTACACGTTTTCTGAGCATCTTTACCCATCAGTTCCACTTTTTCTGAGCAACTTTACCCATCAGTTACACGTTTTCTGAGCAACTTTACCCATCAGTTACACGTTTTCTGCGCAACTTTACCCATCAGTTCCACGTTTTCTGAGCAACTTTACCCATCAGTTACACGTTTTCTGAGCATCTTTACCCATCAGTTCCACGTTTTCTGAGCAACTTTACCCATCAGTTCCATGTTTTCTGCGCAACTTTACCCATCAGTTACACGTTTTCTGAGCAACTTTACCCATCAGTTCCACATATTCTGAGCAACTTTGCCCATCAGTTACACGTTTTCTGAGCAACTTTACCCATCAGTTCCACGTTTCCTACAGAAAGTTTCATTTAGTTACTCACAAAGACACAAACGAAGGACTTATTTTAATAAAATTGTATACTTTGACATTTAATAAAATTTCACCCATACTAAACCTAAAATAAACAAATACAAAAGTTGAACAGACAAATAAAGTATTTATATATTTTGTACTGAACATGGGCAACGCCGAGCACTTCAGCTAGCTATAAATATTACTCCAGTCAAGAGAAAAATTATTTTTTTTTATAGAAATTTCGTGAATATGATATCTTCAATTCTGAATTGAGATATGGAATATTTTCATGTCAAGTATCTAAAAGTTCACATTTTAATTATAACCTTCATTCAGGAGAGATCTTTTATGAATATTTTTCTGGAGGAAAAGTAAAAAAAGGAATAATAAGTTTGGCTTAATAATGGATTTAGGACACTAGATGACGTCATTTCGTTCACAATAACCCTGAGGCAGCAGCCCAAAAGAGTTGCGTGAAGTCGGCATAGAAGAAAGACAGAGAAAAAGCCTGTTCAACACAGACTTCGTGCAACTCCTTTGGGCTGCTACCTCAGGGTTATTGTGAACGAAACACATAGGAATCTTGAAAAGACGATATCTAGTGTCCTATTTATTATTTTAATTAATCTATGAGTAGAGATGAGATTGGTCGAAAAACCTCTGTTAATAGTTTATATAAATAATATTTATTTTGTCGAAACTCCTTTTGCAAAATATTTGTTGAAAATTCCAGTTTTGATAGCAACGAACTAATTCTGATAGCAACGAACAAATTCTGAATTAAAAGAACTAATTCTGAATTAAAAGAACTAATTCTGATTTAAAAGAACTAGTTCTGATAGCAACTAAGGACAAGTAGTGAAAGCAACAACCAGAATCAAGTGTTGATAAACAGCAGCTAATGTTAATAAGAACCAAGTACAGTTTTGAAAGCAACAAATTTTCATAAGACTTAGGAAACATCACCAACTGGCTGAACCCTGATTGGATCAGGCGCTAATGGACTCGGCATACAGGAGTGCTTAGAAAACATTAATAACTACAAACTAGTTTTCATTTAAACTATGGTCAAGATATTTCAGTTATCACAGCAACTGATCTTAACAGCAACAAAAATTAAGTTTTGAAAGCAAATAAGTTTAATTAATAGTAAAAAAGAACTAGTTGAATAAGAACTAGTTGAAAATTATTTTTTTAATGAAAAGAAATGGGCTTTTGTTCTTTTCTGGCGAAGTATTGATTATTATTTAAAAATAGATACTAGGCAAAATAATTGATAAAGTTGTAAATTTATTTTTAACATTTTATTGCAACAAACTCTAATGTTTTAATCCCTTTATTAAATGATAAATGATAGAAAAGCTACTTTCGTAGTCGACCCTAGAAATAATTTTCATCATCAGTCTGTAGACGGGCGAATACTATACATATACATCCTAGCTCTAATTTGAATTATGAAACTAGTAAGTTTAGGATTGAAATAATCAGGCAGAACAACTTCTTTAAATTTTCTTATATACAGAGTGTAAAAATGCCTAAAATGATCATCCTAGGTTTTACGTGTCTCATACTTCAGAAGGAATATATAATCTGAGAAAAACCAAACTTCAAAATATAAAATATCAAAAAAAACTATAATATGCAAACAATTTTGTAAAATTTAAGTTATAAATGAGCCAGTGCTTTGCCATGAAACACCTGGAATCTCAATATTTATCAAATTTTCGATTGCTTCCAGATGGGTAAAAATACATCATGACTGGTCCACCTATACAAATTGCATTAGTTTGTTTTTTTTCCAACGTCCACAAAAGTGCCTTTGTTAATGTCTCTGATATCACCTTAACTATCACATACAATCTTCTTATCAACTCCCACCATACAACCTACCCTGGTTAGGCGGGTTCAAACTGCATAGCAAATTCCGATTGCTTATTTGTAATTTCTATTGCTTTGTATTTGAATAAAAATATGTAATTTGAACCTAAAAATGTACACCTTTTATATTCTAGATTTGTTACGATAGTTATATCTTTTTAAAAGAAAAAAAGATCTGTAAATTTCAGATATTTTTATTTTCTGTAATTTCAGATATTTTTATTTTCTATAATTTTCAGATATTTTTATTTTAACCGTGTATACTATACAGATGCATGTAAACAAGAAAATCACAGTAAGTTAGTTACTTTTTTCTTTTTCAAAAAGAATGCTTGAACACAAGAAATTTGTGATACTTCAAGAACAACCTTAGGTAAAACCAAACTTTGAAATCAATCAAAGAATATTGAAAATATCCAGGAGGAACATGTCAAATTTGATCATTCTTGAGGACTACTGTAGAAGGCGATTATATCAATATAATTAAGACGATTTTTTTAAAAGTAATAATTGTTAACAAGCTTTTTTCAAATTACAAGTTTACAAGTAATTAAAGAAAAGCTTTTTAAATTGAAAACTGTGGTCCATGCTACTTAATAGCTTGATATTTTTCAAATTGAAATCGAAAGCCGTCTTTATTATATTGATATCATCGCCTACCACCGTAGTTGAGCTGTTTATCCAGTTTGTATCTAGCTGGTGGAATCTGAGAATGCAATATCATAAACATCTTTGTATTCTTCTGCAAAATGTATGGAAACATCATCTCTGATCAGTTGCGGAAGCTCCTCATAGTCTTTTCTAAAATAAGAAATTGTTTTGAAATCATTTAAATTTGTAGTATACTGTAGTGTAGTGTACTGTACTGTAGTGTACTGTAGCGTACTGTAGCGTACTGTAGCGTACTGTAGTTTACTATACTGTAGTGTACTGTAGTGTACTGTAGTGTAGTGTAGTATACTGTAGTGTACTGTACCGTACTGTAGTGTACTGTAGCGTACTGTAGCGTACTGTAGCGTACTGTAGTGTACTATACTGTAGCGTACTGTAGTGTACTGTAGTATACAGTAGTGTACAGCAGTGTACAGCAGTGTGTTGCAGTGCGCTGTAGTGCGCTGTAGTGCGCTGTAGTGCGCTGTAGTGCGCTGTAGTGTACTGTAGTGTACTGTAGTGTACTGTAGTGTACTGTAGTGTACTGTAGTATACATGTACTTTGCTGTAGTATACTGTAGTATACTGTAGTGTACTGTATAATAATAATAATAATAATAATAATAATAATGCATATTTCAAACTAGTTTACAGGTTAAATGATAACAATATATGTACAAGTTATGATCATGGAATAAAATCAGTGATATATTACATGTAGTGTACTGTAGTATACATGTAGTGTACTGTAGTGTACTGTAGTGTACTGTAGTGTACTGTAGAGTACTGTAGTGTACTGTAGTGTACTGTAGTGTACTGTAGTGTACTGTAGTGTAGTGTAGTGTACTGTAGTGTACTGTAGTGTACTGTAGTGTACTGTAGTGAACTGTAGTGAACTGTAGTGTACTGTAGTGTACTGTAGTATACATGTAGTTTACTGTAGTATACTGTAGTATACTGTAGTGTACTGTATAATAATAATAATATAATAATAATGCATATTTCAAACTAGTTTACAGGTTAAATGATAACAATATATGTACAAGTTATGATCATGGAATAAAATCAGTGATATATTACATATAGTGTGCTGTAGTGTGCTGTAGTGTACTGTAGTGTACTGTAGTGTACTGTAGTGTACTGTAGTGTACTGTAGTGTAGTGTACTGCAGTGTACTGCAGTGTACTGCAGTGTACTGCAGTGTACTGCAGTGTACTGCAGTGTACTGCAGTGTACTGCAGTGTACTGCAGTGTAATGCAGTGTACTGCAGTGTACTGCAGTGTACTGTAGTATACTGTAGTATACTGTAGTGAACTGTAGTGAACTGTAGTGAACTGTAGTGAACTGTAGTGAACTGTAGTGAACTGTAGTGAACTGTAGTGTACTGTAGTGTACTGTAGTGTACTGTAGTGTACTGTAGTGTACTGTAGTGTACTGTAGTGTACAGTAGTGTAGTGTAGTATACTGTACTGAACTGTACTGTACTGTAGTATACTGTAGTATACTGTAGTATACTGTAATGTACTGTACTGTATTGTACTGTACTGTAGTATACTGTAGTATACTGTAGTGTACTGTAGTGTACTGTAGTATACTGTAGTGTACTGTAGTGTACTGTAGTATACTGTAGTATACTGTAGTGTACTGTAGTATACTGTAGTGTACTGTAGTATAATGTAGTATACTGTAGTATTCTGTAGCGTACTGTAGCGTATTTTAGTATACTGTAGTATACTGAAGTATACTGTAGTGTACTGCAGTGTACTTTAGTATACTGTAGTGTACTGTAGTGTACTGTAGTGTACTGTAGTATACTGTAGTGTACTGCAGTATATTGTAGTGTACTGTCGTATACTGTAGTATACTGTAGTGTACTGGGTGCAAGGTATTTTCCCAAGGGCAATTTCCCAAATGGCAACTTCCCAAAGGATAGGTCTTCTGAGGCACTGAAGGCTGCAATGGAGGGCCGAGCACTGCGACTAGGACAGACTTGGGAAGTTGCCACTTGAGAAAATACCCTTGGAAAGTTACTGCTTGGGAAAGTATCTAACATTATGTACTGTACCTGTTATCCTTGGGTAGTATGATTGTTGTGACTCCAGATCTTTTGGCAGCAATTATCTGATAAATATACAATCAGTAGACCCCTTATCAAATCAAATCAAAACAAATCATATTATTGAGTTTCAAGTCTTACCAACATCCGGGGTTTTCAGTCAGATCTACCAATGTTTTAAAATGTCTTTATGAAGATTACAAGTATATGAACTCTGGTATTAAGAAACCCGCTTTTATGTCCAGAGATAAGATTTTAAAAGCTTAAACCCGAGTAAAACCCAAACTCGGCCTAAGATAGAACCCAAGTCAGGATTGGTTCTGATTCGACCAATGAGAGACTGTTAAGCAAGCTTTCTCTCTGTAGCAGACATAATGCCGTCAGATCAGCTGTGACAAGGAGAGGTTTTTCGAAAATTCAAACTTAATGTAGATTTTCATAGTATGTTTATTTTATATATATTTATTTGACACCACAAATAATTCCCGAGATTTTAAATGATTTTAAATTTACGATCATCAGCTGCTCAAGACTTGAGCCTTAAAGAGAGAAAATCCCTAAAATGGTTGGTTTTTACTAAACTCAAGGCCATCAAAAACCCGGGTCTTGACTTGAGCTTTACTTGGGTCTAAGGAGACGCAAAGACCGGGTTTAAGCTTTTAAAATCTCATCTCAGGTAAAGATCTCAGCACACGACCAAATTTGAGCCATGTTGCCACTTTAGCGTCCACACCGATTGTGAAAGACAAACCATTAGAGACAATAGTAACTTATAAAGAATTATTGATGAATACCTTCTCTTTAATCCCTCCTACAGGAAGAACTTTACCCCTCAGACTTAGTTCCCCTGTCATTGCTAGATCAGCTTTTACAGGTTTACCAGTAGCCAAGGATACTAAATAAAAGAAATATGACATAACTTTCTTATTATGGCATTTCTCCTCAAGGAGTGAAAATTTAATTCTACAAAGAATATGTTTAATATCTTCTAGAATATCATTACCTAGAGCAGTGACTATTGTAATACCATCATTTAATATTACAAAGCATATGTTTAATATCTAGAATATCATTACCTAGTACAGTGACTATTGTAATACCATCATTTAATATTACAACGCATATGTTTAATATCTAGAATATCATTACCTAGTACAGTGACTATTGTAACACCATCATTCAATATTAAAAAGCATATGTTTAATATCATCAAGAATATCATTACCTAGTACAGTGACTGTTGTAACACCATCATTCAATATTACAAAGCATATGTTTAATATCTAGAATATCATTACCTAGTGCAGTGACTTTTGTAACACCATCATTCAATATTACAAAGCATATGTTTAATATTGTCTAGTAGATCATTACCTAGTGCAGTGACTATTGTAACACCAGCGCTGGGACCATCCTTAGGAGTTGCTCCTTCAGGTACATGAAGGTAGCACTTGTGTTCCGCGAAGTATGTGGTCTCCTGTTAAAGGTGATCAAGTAAAAACAAACAGTAGTATCAAATATAAGATCAATATTAATTTTCGGATAAGATTTGGTTATGTTCTTATTCAGTGTTTGTTTATACATTCCTTGTCTATGGAAGTTAGGAAAACTCGTGCAAAGGTTCCAGCAATCTTTATACTCTCCTTCATAACATCCCCAAGGTTTCCTATTTGAAAATCAATCAATCAATCAATCTAAAAATCAATCAATGCATTTTCTTTTATTTTCTGAAAGACGACTTGACGACTTTTCTCGTAAAAAAAACTGACCTGTAAACTCCAGAGTTCCACCTTGACTAGGCTCCTTCCCCTTTTGTCCTGAAGTTGTAAACTGTTTATGTGAGTTAAAAATAGATCATACAGCTTTTATCATACAGCCTTGTTTCAAAATTGATTAATACTTCTTTAAAAAAGTTGTTACCAAGTGTCTCTATGTACAGTGTAGATCCACCATGTGAGGTCCAGGCTAATCCCAGCGCCACACCAGACTAAACAATAATTCAATCAATGAATCAATTAAAAAGCTTTTCTGTCTGGTACATGTGCTGTCTTATAAACTTACCGGTGTACTATCATACATCTTCTCACTAGAAAACACAGGTTTACCCACATAATCACCAAGAGAGGTTTCATCTATACAGATTCCAGATTCCTTATCATTCACAACCTACAACAAAGATTCAAATTTTAATGGGTCAATTTTTTAGAATTGAATCTTTCAGTGTACATTTAATTTTAAAAGATTCAAACTTTAATGCATCAATTTTATAGGACTGACATTTTCAGTGTACATTTAATTTTAAAAGATTCAAATTTTAATGCGTCAGTTTTATAGAACTGACATTTTCAATGAACATTTTTTAAAAAAGATTCAAATTTTAATGAGTCAATTTTGTAGGACTGACATTTTCAGTGTACAATTATTTTTAAAAGATTCAACTTTTAATGCGTCAGTTTTATATGGGACTGACATTTTCAGTGTACATTTATTTTTAAAAGATTCAACTTTTAATGCGTCAGTTTTATTGAACTGACATTTTCAGTGTATTTATTTTTAAAAGATTCAAATTTTAATGCGTCAGTTTTATAGAACTGACATTTTCAATGTGCATTAATTTTCAAAAGATTTAAATTTTAATGCGTCGGTTTTATAGAACTGACATTTTCAGTGTACATTTATTTTCAAAAGATTCACATTTTGATGCGTCAGTTTTATAGAACTGACATTTTCAATGTGCATTAATTTTCAAAAGATTTAAATTTTAATGCGTCGGTTTTATAGAACTGACATTTTCAGTGTACATTTATTTTCAAAAGATTCACATTTTGATGCGTCGGTTTTATAGAACTGACATTTTCAGTGTACATTTATTTTTCTAAAAAGATTAAAATTTTCATGTGTCAGTTTTATAGAACATTTTCAGTGTACGCTGACATGGCACTACGACATCTGCTCTTTTTCCATTTGCTCTATGGCCATTTGCTCTAGTTCCATTTGATCTTTCGAGTCATTTGCTCTATAAGTCATTTGCTCTGTATTCAATCTGCTCTATACCTCATTTGCTCTATGAATAAACACGTCATTTGCTCTATAACCTAAAATACACTATAAAATAGCTTTTCTTGGATTTCCTAAGCGTAACTTGACTATGAAATGCGAGAATTTTTTTTTGAAAATTCGCAAATTGCAGTTAAGAGGGGTAAAAAAACCTAATATGTGGTGAAAACTATATTTAACTTGGTCTCACACTATGCACAAATACCAGACAAACAAAACTATCTCCAGGAAGTTGGCGGAATAATGAAGCTGTAGGAAGAATTGTAAAATGTAAAATTGTAAAAATATAGTTTTAATATGATTATTTATTTGTAAAATATGTTTATAGAGCAAATGACGTGCTTACTCATAAAGCAAATGTTCAGTAGAGCAATTGGACCATCACAGTCATAAAAATGTTTATATAGCAAATGACATGTTCTGTCATAGATCAATTGACGTATAGAGCAGATGACAACATAGAGCAAACGTCGTGATCTATGAGCTATAGACCAAATGGTTAATAGAGCAAATGGAAATAGAGCAGATGTCGTAGCGCCAACTGACATTTTCATTGTACATTTATTTTCAAAAGATTCAAATTTTAATGCGTTAGTTTTATAGAACTGACATTTTCAGTGTACATTTACTTTTAAGATTAAAATTTTAATGGGCAAGTTTTATAGAACTGACATTTTCAGTGTACATTTAGTTCTAAAAGATTCAAATTTTAATCGGCAAGTTTTATAGGACTGACATTTTCAGTGTACATTTATTTTTAAAAGATTCAAATTTTAATCGGTAAGATTTTTAGAAGTGAAATTTTCAGTCTACATATATACTTTTAAAAAGATTCAAATTTTAATGCGCCAGTTTTGTAGAACTGACATTTTCAGGGTACATTTATTTTTAAAAAATTCAAATTTTAATAGAACTGACATTTTCAGTGTAAATTTATTTTTGAAGATTCAAATTTTAATCGGCAAGATTTAAGAACTGAATTTTTCAGTGTACATATATTTTGTTTATCTTATTCATTCTACAAACTAACATCAACAAACAATCTGCTTTTGTAAAATATCTGATTGCCTGGGTGCAGCGGCTAGGACTGTCTAACATTGTATTAAAGATTAACTATCGCTCAGGTTTACCTTGAAAGCAACTTTTCTATAAATCTTCTCAATTTGTTTTCGCAGATTACGGACTCCAGATTCCCTTAAAAATGTAGACAATTTTTTTGTTTCTTAAAAAAACGATTTAATCTCCAATATGTCTCCAGAAACTTTTGTGAATTGTTTATAACACTCTTTTAGTTCGAATTCCTTTAAAATTATTTTCATGTTTCTTGTGATTTTATCCCCAAAAGTATCAACTTTATGATAAAATTTAAAATGCATTAGTACCTGCAGTAGGATTTGATGAGCGTGTTAAGCCCCTGATCTGTGATCATTAAATGAGAACTATTCAGTCCCGTTAATTCCTCCACCTAACAATATATCTTCATGATCAACAGAGCATATATCTTAGAAAAACATATTTTTCCAAAATATGATAATTGTTAAGTAGTAATCAATCTCTGTTGGTATGTTTGTTTGTATGTCTAATCATTGGACTGATTTGCCTCAAATTTTGATTGGGAAATTCAGTAGAATCAAAGGAATGTTCTTAGCTTGGATTAAAAGTTTAAGTCAAGTAGGTTCCAGACAAAGCTGGGTTGCCAAGCTAGTAGATTAAAACCTGCGGAATGAGATATTTTTGTGCTATAGCCAGCTTCTCCTCTGCCACGTAGCCAGAAATATTTATTATCTCCATCCGATCTCGTAGCGGCTCAGGAATAGTGTCTAAAATAAACAGATAGAGGACTTAATACATCAAAGAAAAGAAATCATTAAATAAAAGTTAAAATTGATAAGTACCTAAAACATTTGCGGTGCACAGAAACAGAACCTTTGACAAATCAACCGGAACATCCAGATAATGATCCATAAAGGAGTTATTCTGCTCAGGATCAAGCATCTCCAGAAGAGCAGCGGTGGGGTCACCTTGCCATCCTCGTCCCATCTTATCTATTTCATCAATCAGGATCAGAGGATTCTCAGTCTTGGTTTTCTTCAAAGCCTGAACTGCTTTTCCAGGCATAGCACCAACATAGGTTCTTCTATGTCCCTTGAGTTCAGCTACATCTGACAGACCTCCTACGGAGAACCTGAAATACTCCCTGTTGAGTGCCCTGGCAATTGACCTGGCAATGCTGGTTTTTCCAACTCCAGGTGGACCAGCTAAGCAGACAATTTTCCCCTGGGTTGAACCCTTCAGTTGACTAACAGCAATAAACTCTAAGATACGCTTCTTCACATCATCTAATCCATAATGATCATTGTCTAGGACTTCTGCTGCCTGTTTTAGATCCAGGTTCTCTTCACTTGAGACTCCCCATGGAATAAGAGTTAACCAATCAAGATAGTTTCTTGTTACAGAAAATTCACTTGAATGACTGTCCAGGAATCTCAGTTTGTTTATTTCCTCATCTATCACAGTTTTAGTACTCTCAGGTACTGTCATCTTCTCCAGTCTAGCATTGTACTTTTCAATAATAGTGTCAGTGTCATCCTTCTCCATCCCCAATTCCTTCTTTATAACCTTAAGCTGTTCTTGAAGCATATATTTTCTCTGAACAGTTTTAACTTTCTCTTCCACATCCTTTCCAATCTTTTGCTGCAGCTTACTTAGCTCATACTCCTTTTTGAGTAATTTCAGAGCCAGCATAAGACGAGCAGGTATATTACGTTCCTCCAACACTCCCATTAACTCAGCTGTCTCTCCGCCAGTTAGAGCAGCTCCAAGGTCACTCAAATAAACTGGATTGTCCACAACCCGTTGTCCAAATTGTAACATTTGCTGCAGAGAGTCTCTATAAAGAGGATTTAGTGAAATGATATCTCTTATGGTCTTGATTACCTCTTGTGTCATTGCTTTCACCTCTTCTGTAGTTGTAAACTCATGATGAACAACATTTTCAGTTTCTCCAATCAGAACAGGTTCAGGAGACTGTGGGGAACCTTCATTCAACAGTTTGGTTTCCCCTTTCAGCTCATTTAACACCTTTTTAACCTCCTTCTCCAATTCTATCCCATCCTCCTCCTTCTCCTTCTCCACTTTCCCTTCCTCCTTGTTCCCGTCCAAAACCTGAGAATTCAGCTGAATTCTACGATGAGCCATCATTACCATCCTAACCTTAGAACCCAAATCCTGTAGTTCAACAATCTGAGCAAAGGTTCCAACTGGGTAAAGATCATCTAAACTATCCACTACCTCAGAACTATTATCATCATTCTTTTTGACAAATATACCACAGTAGGGCTGGTTGAGCTTAACCTTCCTACGGAGTATCTTAAGTAACCTTGGCTCTGTAACCTCAATAATCTTGATAAACTTGGGAAACACAGGATGACGGTTAACTGAAGTAAATGATCAGATTTAGTTTCAAAACCTTGAAAATCCTTTTCAGACCAACTTAGCTTTTGCATAAAATGAGGAGGTTAAAATACACCCTTGTCAAAAAGCATATGTAGGACAAAGTAAGCATTTTATAAATTAATTTTTTAAAATCATCATTCCTGCAATAATTGGCAGAATCGGCCAGACCTCGGGAACAGTTTGAGTGGCTGGCAAAGGAAGTAACGGCTCCTCTGTGCTTGAAATATCCTAAATTAATGTAGTCAAAGCTTGTTTAGACAATCTATATATTTGCCCCTTAACATGATGGTTAGGAGATGGCTGAAGAGCTGGCACTGATCCACACTAGATAAATAACTAGATGAACAAAAAGAGCATGTAAATACAAAAGCGGAACAATAAAGGATATTATCATTGTTTGAACAATATAAGTAATAAACTAAATGTATACTAAATATCTTTGCTAATAAATACATATGTTAGCTTTATAGCTGGCCAAACTGTTGGACCAAATTGACGGACATTTATTGGAGCTATCCAAGGCTATGCTGGAGGTGACACAAGACAAAAAAATTGATTTTATATTGTAAAATTAAATTTAGATTTTTTAAATTTATTTATATTTCCTTTCTTAAATGTGATTTACCAATAAAATGTGAGAAAAAGAAAAGAAAAAACTTACGTAAAGTGGATTTGCATCATCATTGTTGGAATCAGAAGAGAACATTCGTATATCCTTAAATTCAAATAATTAAGAAAACATTTGGATAATCTTATTAGGTCAGCCATCATTCATTAAACATTAGGACCAAGCCCTCAGTAAAAATGTTTATAATTAATGTAACAGTTGGCAATGACACATATATTATGTGCGACAATAAATAAATAATTTTATCAATTTTCTTAATATTTGTGCCTGTTTGTAAATAAGCGAACTGTACTGTATCCTGGCAGAAAATATAGATTTGCTAAGAGGAGTAGAACAGGGGTTTGATGTACTGCGTGTTGTTTGAGAACATGTTGATGCATCTAGTCGACATTGAAGTATTCCCGCATTCAAGCGCAACTTCCTAAAACCCATCTATGTCCTCTAATTGAAAACTCAATACTAACCAAGATACATCATTTAAACAGAACATTGGCATAAAATCAAAGAAGTTAAAATACTGTCAAAGTAGTATTAAGGATAGGGGATGGGTTCCTGTATGTTCCATGGTTGAGAAAACTCCGAAAATATGCACTTTTCCCGATATTTCTCAACATTACCAATCTGAAATAATAAAATGAATTTGATATAAACAATTAACAAAACTGGACTCGAACTTGGTAAATGATATTTAAAGATTAACATAGTTAGCTGGAAGGCAAGGCAACACACCCGCATCCACAGTGCTTATATCTGCCTCAACTGTATTAGTATCCGCCTCGGCCCCTTCCATATCCTCCTCGTCCTCCACGGCCTCCTCCCCTATGTCGTTTGTGTTCCTCTCCGACAGGAAAATTTTCACTCTCACTACCGTGGCGTTTGAAACCTCCACCACCTCGCCCTCCACCACGCTGGAAACCTCTACCCTCGGCATAACCTCCGCCACCACCTCCTCCTTCATAGCCTGGCCCTCCTCTTCCACGCCCACCTCCACCCCTTCTTCCCCGGTCAAATCCACCTCCCCTTTGTCCACCTCTATCATAACCCCCACCCTCACCTCCAACACCTCCACCTTTACCTCCGTATTCAAATCAAATCAAATCAAATCAAATCAAATCAAATCAAATCAAATCAAATCAAATCAAATCAAATCAAATCAAATCAAATCAATCAATCAAACAATCAATTAATGTAATTAAACAGTCAATCAATGTAACTAGACAATCAATCAATGTAATTTAACAATCAATCAATGCAATAAATGCTCCTTAAATTCTATTTAATACGAATTGCTGATTTACTTTCAAACGTGGAAAATAATAGTAAATACATCATATTATATATTAATATCAATCAATCAATCAATCAATCAATCAATCAATCAACCAACCAGCCAACCAACCAACCAACCAACCAACCATCCAACTAATTATCCAATCAACCGACCTGTTCCTCCATAAAACTTCTAATCTTAGGATCGCACAGCTCTTGATCCAATTCCTCAAAGCAAGACAAGAAAGCCAATCCAAAAGGTCTGAAATTAAATTCTAACAGAACTTCAAACTTAAAGCGACTGTCATAGTCTTTTCAAGTGACCTTCTATTACTTAAAGAGGGGCGTTCCCGATTTAAAAATTCTCTTGTTGCCCCCCCCCCCCGGCCCCCTCGATCAACTAATAAGTAATGTGTTTTTTTTTCATGCTGAAATAGAAAAAAAAACGATTGTTGTGGGTAAAAAGTATTGAAATATGGTATTAAAAAAAATAAGATGAAAAAAGATCTCTGGGGCGACCTGGAAATTGATCTTTTTAGGGCACCAACATTTTTGTATTCAATTCGGTCCTTACCTGGGCACCATATGCCTTGAGGTTGGCCGTTGCTGTTGCTGTTGCGGAGGTCCCCCTCCACCTCCTCCCTTTTTACCCCAGTGCTTTCTGATCTAAAGACAGATATGTGAAAGACATTTAAAAAAATTCCCAAGTAAATAAATAATTCTTATCAGAAAAAAAGATGTGAAGGCATTAAAACAAATAATAATTTGCCCAGTGACAACACCAACGTCCAACATCTTAATACAAATTGAAAATTTTGAATCACCCCCTCCCACACCACCACCACAACAACAAAATTTAAATAGTTTTCTTTCTTAACAACAACACTTCTAAAATTTACCTGAATAACCTGCCCTCGTTGTCCGTCCTCTCCTGGTCCACAGACATCAACATAATGCCTAGTTTAAACATTTTAAATATTTTAAATGTTAAGCAATGATTTTTATAATTTAAAGGGACTGTACTTGAATAATTTGTGACCCTTCAGACTTACATGGCAACGCCTGATTTACAATGCCCTTGAAACCTTAATCTGATCAGAATGTGGATGATATCGTCGTTTTTTGTTACTGGAAAAGTGTTCAATTCAATGGCAAAGTCAATTTAACTAAAATTAACAGTTTAAAGCAACAAAAATATGGATATCTAATTTATAATTGATCAGACAAACCTTATAAGGGTATAGTTCTAAACTGTAAATCAGACATCGCCATCTTTACGTGAAGGGTTACTTGATATTACGCTTACAGTCCCTTGAGTTAATAAACTTTCATAATTTAACACATTTAAAATTAACTATTAGCGTTTTTGAAAACAAAGTACGGAGTTAATACAACGGTGAACACAAAAAATGATTTGACAAAGCGCATAATAATAACAATAAAAATAGCGTTTGAAACTAAAGACATTTAGCAAGATTTTCCAACAGTGCGTAAAAAATAGGGTTTTCACGAAACAGTATGTAATTCTTGCGCACCAGTAAATACATGTTTTTGCACGAAATAACTTTTATTGCATGAAATTTCGCATCAATTCTGTATCCATACGAAACCAGTTTTGCACAAAATTGCGAATTCTTTCGAAATAAGTAATTTTTTTTCACAAAATTTCACATAATATAGAATTCAAATCCAGCTTTTTGCATATTTTGTGCATGAATACAAGGTCACAGTTTTTGCACCAAATTGGGCAGTGCTCATGATAACGAAAAATTGGAATTTTTGTACAATATGGTGTATGAACATGAGATTAAGGAAAAGAAGTGAATCAGTTTCAGTAAAACAAATAATTCTTTTATAGCTGCAATATTTAATTCATGGACAAAAATCACATTTTTATCACATTCAATATTCTTAGTTTAGACACGGTTAAAAGATTGGTTACTTTCCTTAATAAAATTGGTTATGATAAATAAATTTTTAGAAAACGGTAAAAAGGTGGCACTGGAGGTTCATCTCAGTCTTAGATGAAATCTTAATATTAATCTATAAATATGAATACATTTCTCTTGTTTGTCTGTCTCCTTGTTTGTTACCTATCTTCGTCAGCTGGATCAAATTGTCTTAAAGGAATTGAGTTTTTGCAACAGAAACAAATTTTCTAATTCCTATATCTTTGCAACCTGATGGTATAAACCTTTGATATTTTAAACTATAGACTAGATCATCCAACAAAATTCATAGTTTGAATTACGACATCGGGTTGCAAAGGTATAGGAATAGAAAAATCAGAGCTTGGGGCAAAAACTCAATTCCTTAGAGTGAAAGAAACTCAAAATTCAACGAAATGACTCGAAATACTGAAATAGGTCGAAATAACGAAATTGGAGGAAACAACGGAATACGCAAAACCAAGATTTTTGCATCAATGCAAAAATTGATTCGAAATATTGTGCAATTCTTACTCAAAACATAAGAAAATCTTTGCGCAATTATTACATGATTTTCTGGAAAACTTAAAAAACGTGTAAATACCATGATAACAATATTATTTTATGTTTTACAATTCATGTAAATAATCAAAATTTTGTGAAAAAAATACTTATCAGACCTGTCGCATATATTCTTCATGTGCTGAGGAATAGATGCATCTGTACCAATACCGTGCTGGTCCATCAGAGATATCAGCTCACTCTCCTAGGTTTATCAATTATCAGTGCTACTATTGTTGTAGCCATATATGGTCATGGAAATTGGTTGTGAAGTTCTTTGGGCCGCTAATCATATAGGGTTTGGTTCGCGCACCAGAGAAGTTTGTTACAACTTTCTCATGGACCTGCATACTGCAATGATTAACGCTATTCTATCGATTACAATTACAGACATAAATCTTAGGGATTTTTGAGATCAATTATTTGCTCCCTCTGTTTAGGGCGTGTACAAATGTATTTCTCTAAGTCCTTTTACTTTGTTGCATAAACCCCTTAAATGTTCTCTCTATATATATATCCCCGAGTATGAACGAATGGGATTTATCAGCTTTTCAGTTTATTGATCTAAATACATCTGTTTAAGGTTATTCTTGTTGAATCAATTTCCTTTGGTATCTAAGAAACTGTCGTCGTCTGTTCCAGTTCAGTGTCTGTCTGAGCAGCTTCCTCAATCTCAATATCTTGTTTTAGCTGCTCCAGTTCAGTATCTGTCTAGGCAGCTTCTCCAACTCGATATCTTATTTATTTGCTCCAGTTCAGTATTCTTACACTGCAATCTTAGCTGCTTCCTGAGTTTTGGCTACTTTAGCTGCTCCTACAATATGGGATGCTTCCACTTCATTACCAGCTGCTTCCTTTATTACCAGAGCTGCTCCTGAAGTCCTTGCTACGTTAACTAGTCTTCCAATATGAGATGCTCTTTCCGAGAATGTGTATTCATGTTGAAGGACGGGGAAGGAGGCCAGTGTCCTCCTTAGTTCTCTGGTAGGCATGTTAACAATCTATCATTTTAACCCCCCCCCCAAAAAAAAAATAACTTGTCATCAAATATGGGTTAGAAATGTGTCAGTGCTTCTGGATCTTTAATCTTCCAAATTTATTGACAGTGATTCGAGTTTTAAGGACCAATTTTATTTGTTTGGCTCAACCTAGAGTGAACTCTTCTGTTCAATATAAATGGGTGTCTATAACTGACTTGTCAAAATAAAGCTTAACAATAAAAATCCTTTTCGTATAGCTCGGTAGGAGGGGAATAGATGAAGATTAAACTAACCTGCAAGTAGTCCGGAGGGGAATAGATGAAGATTAAACTGACATGCAAGTAGTCCGGAGGGGAATAGATGAAGATTAAAATGACATGCAAGTAGTCCGGAGGGGTATAGATGAAGATTAAACTGACCTGCAGGTAGTCCGGAGGTTTAGTAAATTCAGTTTCAGTCTTGAGATCAGATAACCTGAAATAAAGCTTAAAAAGTGGAGCTCCGACAGATAATGTCTTTTTAAACTTTAAATCTGAGAATATATAACTTTAAATCTGAGAATATATAACTTTAAATCTGAGAATATTTAACTTTAAATCTGAGAATATATAACTTTATATAAATATTAATCCTGGAATATTAAGTTATTAATAAAAGCTATATTGAAACACTTGCTAATGTTTAATAATATGTTTTCATTGGGATATCACACTAAACAAATCAATGTCTTAAATAAAAAATAATTTTTATTTTGGATGAATTGAAATGGAGGTAAGTCCTTAACTTATCTGCTGCCCCTCTTGTAGAAGAGGAATATTGAACTCCGATACAGATAGTTGCAAACTGACCTTATCTGCTGCCCCTCTTATAGAAGAGACATATTGAACTCAGGTACTGATAGTTGCAAACTGACCTTATCTGCTGCCCCTCTTGTAGAAGAGAAATATTGAACTCAGATACAGATAATTGCAAACTGACCTTTTCTGCTGCCCCTCTTGTAGAAGAGGAATGTTGAACTCAGATACAGATAGTTGCAAACTGACCTTATCTGCTGCCCCTCTTGTAGAAGAGACATATTGAACTCAGGTACAGATAGTTGCAAACTGACCTTATCTGCTGCCCCTCTTGTAGAAGAGAAATATTGAACTCAGATACAGATAGTTGCAAACTGACCTTATCTGCTGCCCCTCTTGTAGAAGAGGAATGTTGAACTCAGGTACAGAGAGATGCAAACTGACCTTATCTGCTGCCCCTCTTGTAGAGGAATATTGAACTCAGGTACAGATAGTTGCAAACTGACCTTATCTGCTGCCCCTCTTGTAGAGGAATATTGAACTCAGATACAGATATTTGCAAACTGACCTTATCTGCTGCCCCTCTTGAAGAAGAGGAATGTTGAACTCAGGTACAGAGAGATGCAGACTCTTCAGCTTCCATGGCATTGCAAACATAAAACCACGATCTATCACCTTAATCGATTGATTCATGTTTAATTTGTATACTTTCTTGTATTCCCAATCTCAAATTTATTTATTCTTGTTTACTTTTGGAGAAAATCGAAAAAAGTAAGGTCACCTCCAATTAAAGAGTGGTAGGTCTGATTCACAAGTGTACCCTGTAAACCTGTTTTTAAGTACCAATAAGGATGATATTGGTTTTTTTATTTCTTAAAACGTTCTGAATTCTGACATTTTCCTACATTATAGCTGCAACATAAATCCGAAAGTCACTCTTAAAAGAGAAACCACAATTGAAAATAATAAATTTTCAAAGAGAAAAATAAGGATATCTCATTCATACTTAATCAGACACAAGTTAAACCGGTAACCTTGTGAAAAAAAACATGCACCTCTACTAATACAGAGTAACTTGAAATTAAGTCTTTTTAAATAATCCTTGAGAATATTCTATATCACCTCATGCCACTTGTACATGAAGTTGAATCCACCAATATCAACCATTATCTTCCTCTCCATATATTTCATTTCATCATGCAGGGTAGCAATGAAATGCCTGAAGTAAAAAATTGGACTTAAATATTATTTCTTGCTAAGTTGCTTCATGTCGCTGGTGGCTAGGGATTTTTTAGTCAGAACTAAGTATTTTTTTACGCAAAAAAGTATACAGTAGTAAATTAAAAGTAACATTCTTAAAAGAAAAATTAAAAAAAAAAATCAAGACTCATTTGGTAATTAACGATTTAAAAAAACGGCGATTATATTAAGGGAAGGTAGATTTTTAAAAATTTTTCAAAACATGTTGATATGGGTATCAAAAGATGCAACTTAAACTGCCAACTAAGATCCGTTTCTCCGTTTTTCAATATTTCAAAATATGTTTTGTTAAAAGCTAAACAACTAGGTTTTTTGATACTCTGGCAAAAATCTTTATAAAAAACCTGTTTTTTTTTGACAAAAAAGTTGCTCAATTTTCAAAAGATCAGTACGAAATTTACGTTTCTGAACTCAGTGTTTCTAGACGGATATGTTGATACCCATCATGATTTATTTTGAGGCATTTTTTTCTGGCTTACGTTGGTGATTTGATTTACACAAGAAAACAAAAATCTGTATGAGTTTAAAAATTATGAAAAAAAAATCAAATCTTTTTTTAAAATGTATTAAAGAAAGTTTTGAGCATTTTCATAAAAAGTGCCAAATTAAAATTTGCTTAAATATATAAAAAAAATTATATAATTTTTAATTGTTGCGTTGGTAAATTTCGTAAATTGGTTTATAGGGTATATTTCATCTAATTGTGCATGGTAGCAATAATTGCCTCAAGGGAATTTGTTAACAAAAAATGGGAAATACGAAGACGACATCTGAGCAATCTGAAGTGTATTAGATGTTGCTATTACGCTTGAACATCAACTTAATTGAACTTGGTCTGTGCACACTGCACAATTGCCGTGTTTAATGTTCATTGAGCTATTCAAAATTATATCTTGAGTCTAACACTAGTCTTTATATTCTACAGCTTTCACGGGTTACACTGTATGTTTATTACAACATATTTAGTATAACATATTTAATAATAAAAAAGTTACATAGTCACCTTTAATAATAATGTTCCAAGTTACTATATACAAGAAATCAAATGACGATAAAAAAAAGTTTTTATAAATTTTTTTTT